GTCTTAATGTCGTCGGTGGCCGTGGTCTTCTCCCTGGAGGTGCTGATGGACAGACATGCATGGGCATTCTCTCTGGGGATGTGCACAGCCACCCTCCTGCCCCTTGTCACCTATCACCAGCATGATCCCAAATCCCACCATGAAGCCTGAGGAGGTCCGGGGCAGCCTGGTGTGGACATCCCTTCTGGTCAACCCTGCCCATTGGGAAATGTCCACCCCATGCACTTGGGTCTCTGCAGGGTGTGAGCACCCCTAGTATCACGGGTGGGTCAGACAAGAGAAGGGCGTCAGCTTGTTCAGAAACCACCATGCTCTTGGTTGCTGCTGGAGAGATGCTGGGGTTGGATTTTGGGGCTGACCAGGCACAGCTCTGGGTGGAGGCTTTGGGATGGGGCATGGCCATGGGGAGTGGAAGGTCCTGCACCCACCACCATGCTCCCACACCAGAAGATTATCCCATGACGTGCTTGCAGGGGGGATACTGCCCCAAGCAAATGGTGTCTACCCTAAACCGCAGCTCCGAGGGGTGAAGCCCACCACCACGTCAGCGTTGGGGGGTCCTGGCTACAAATGACAGCTCACCCGTAGTACGTCCGGATGGAGTCAAGGATGTACTGCACCCCGTACTTCTTGCAGATGCGCTGCTTGTGGTCCTTGACGACGTTGGCCAGATACTGGATATGACCTGCAGGGAGAAGGTGTGAGTAGCCACGGAGACCGTTTGGGATGGAGAACACCCCCAAGCACCCCCAGTTCCCACCTAAGCGGACGGCGAAGTCGCTGTTGCTCCAGATGCGGAAGTCGAAGAGGAGATGCTGGTAGAGGAGGTGCAGCAGGAGCCCGCTGCCCTCAGAGGCCACCTGCTCCATGAGGATCTGCGAGGCCATCAGCGTGCTCATGTCCAGCAGCGGACTGGAGACCTGCCATGGGCGAGAGGGGAGGCTTGCAGCCCCGGCGTCCCCCTTGGGGAATGGCCCCCAAGACTGCTGGATGGAGCCTTTGGTAGCCCCCCCACACCTTCTGCAGCAGTGCCCCGATGATGGCCGGCCCGTGGCACTGCACCAGGCTCTCCTGGTTCACCGGGTGGTTCTGGATGCAGTTCTTCACCCAGAGAAGGGAGGCGGACACGCTGTTCCTCTCCAGCCTGCTCTCTGCAAGGCACAGGGCAGAGCCCCACCGATAGCTGTGAGCCCCGTGCCCACCCGAACACCCTCCTACAGCGCTGCCTGCATCTGCCCGCAAAGGGCATCTTGGAGCCCCCACCGTCAACTTTTCTCTGCAAACTTTTCAGCCTGTTCCCCTGTTTTCCCCAAATTTAAGCTACTGGAAACCTCCACTGTTCTGAGTGTCTTGGAAATAACCAGCTGGGTATCAGGAGAAAGCCCGTTTCACCTATGCAGGAGAAGGCTCCTGCATGAACCCAGCCCTACTACAAGACACCAGAGACTCCACACAAAGGCAAGCCAGAGGTCAGCAGGCTGGAGTCACCCTCATCTTCCCAGAACTGCTTGTTTATGACTAATTAGGTCATAACAACATTAAAAGATGTCAATGGTTTCTCCATTACCCCATAACTCTTGGTGCCCCAGGCAAGACCTCTCCTGCCCATGGTAGACACCAGCCTGCTCCAGGCAGCACCCACGTGGCAGCGGGGTTACTTACTGCCACCCGAGCAGGACAGCTCCCACTCCACGTCCCCTGAGGTCCTCACCTGAGGACTTGCCCAGCGGGATAAGCATGCCCTGGGCGTTCCTGGAGGACGTCAGCTCTGGTCCCACCAGGTCGTTGGTCTCCTGCTCATCCTCAGGCTCCTCCTTCTTGGACACCACTTGCTCGAGCAGGGGCAGCAGCACGCCCATCCCACCCACACAGTTGACAACGTCCTGCCGGAGGGAGGCGAGAGGCTTTGCTGGATGCTGCGTGGTGATGGCAGCGTAGAGGAGGAGGTTGCATGTGCACCCGGGGTCCGTCCTGCCTGCTCATGGGCTCAGCCCAAGCCGGGGAGAGCCAGGCCCGGTGGCTAGCAAAGATCGGGGTGTGCCCTGACCCACCCTACAGCACACACCTGAAACAGGTCCCCAAAAAGCACCTGTTCCCCTGCAGCACCCATGGTGCCCACCCTGGATGCTGAGGACCTATGGGGCATGCAGGTCCTTGGGGGACCCATGGGTCAGGCAGGTCCTTGGTGGACCCAATAGCATGTAGCAGAGTCCCTGTAGGCTCCAGGGGAACCACCATGGGCATCCAACATGCCTTGGGGGTCCTGTCCCTGCCCCATACCCCAGGAGGGACCCAGCTGCCTCCATGCCACGGGCTGGATGTACCAGGACAGGCCACCCTGTGCCCAGCGTACCTTGATGTCCCAGTTGACCACCTTGTGCCCCGTCAGCCTCCCGTCCAAGCCATGGCTGGGAGAGAGGTCCAGGCAGATGTTGTTCCTGCAGGCCTAGAGGAGAGCACCATGGGAGCATCTTCATGCTCCTGGAGATGTCACCCATAGCAGAGGGTCTACCAGTGCTGTTCCCCATCCCCAGGGGGGTGGCTCTTCTCACCTGTGGGGTGTAGTACAGCAAAAGCTTGCTGCTGAGCTCCACCAAGTCACCTTCCAGCGTAAATGGTGATGTGACATTTGGTCCTGTGAGAAGAGGATTCGGATGAGCTGGAGCGTGGTGGAGACCTTCGTTGCCACCAGCAC